AACAAAGGGTAATAAATTGTGCAAATGCTGGAGTCATGGATGTGTCCTCATCTGCATGTATGATGTAATGATGTGGCAGATTGAAATATAAAATGCTTCTCTACCTGTTTGTTAGGGCCACTTCCTGAGAAGTTAGCCCGCTTGGTAAGCAGCCGCCTTCTGTAAATCAAAGCAACTTCTCTGATCTGATTTTCTACCAAAATATGTGGTCAGTTATGAAGTGTTATTTAAATAAGGAAAAATTACTGGAGAGAGAAAGCCTCAAGGTGGAAACACAAAGCTTTCCTTTAACAAGACTGAGATTCTGCAAGTTTCTGTTATAAAAAAAACCCAAACTAATGACTCATGACCACATGCTTTCCCTCAGACCCCTCCAGATGCGTTTCCACACATGCATCTTTGTTCTGCTGCAGAATTATCTCTCATTTTTTCCAAGCTCCACAACTGTGCATGAAATATATCAAATCGTGAGCACTTTAATAAAGCCATGAAATCCGAACAGGATTATTATTTAACACATTTTCTAGCAGTACAATAGAAATAATGTCAACGAAATTGCACCTTTTTTTCTGTAAACATCACCTCCTTTATTCCCTGCATAGCTCTCTTTAAGCTTAACTGCTCTGCTTTGTTAGAGATTTGCAGATTATAGCTGTATTCTTAAGCAGGTTTGGTTTTAAACATGAATAATTGTTTTTAGCAGTACCTTTTGTTTGTTTAGTTTCTGATTTTCTTTTATATTTATACAGTCGGTGGTAATCAACACTTTCTAAGTACGAAAGGTTCTACTGTAAGCTAATTGTTAGCGCTAAGCCTCTTCAGCCTATTGTTTTGTTTTTGTGGTTATTTGTTTATGCAGCGGTGCATCTTATTTCTTTAAGGCCAGTACATAACCCACCACAGTGGAGAGATTTGTTGTCTTACTCGAGGTTGAGGGAACAAAACAGTCCTTTGTGGCCGGGGCATTTCATCCTCTGCAGGAAATCAAGTGCACGGCTCCTGGGAGCTCATCATAGGGCCCTTTCACTGCAGTATATGACAGTGTCGTAACCGCAAGCACTTAAAATTTCTGAAGTGTCCCCAAAATAATACATCAGGCTACAGAAAGAAAATTACTTTATTTTGTTTCTGCAGCTCAGGGATGGAGAACAAGTTTCTCTGTATCTGCAAAGACCTCCCTGCATGACCTGATATGCTTTCTATGATTTCCCCTAAAAATGTTATAGTATAGATTTAAATTACTAGATTTAAAAAAACATATATATTCAATTATATTGTATGGGCCTGTCAATGTGGTTTTAACCCCATGACTGACTCAATACTTTTTGTAGGCAAGAAAAACCTAAACTCGCCCTCATTCAGCCAGCTGGCAGGCAGTGCACAGATACAACTCCAGTGATGCCACTATAACTCATTGGAAAAGAAAATTCAACTATTGAGTTATGATGGACTATATTATTGTGTTTTTCTTTTTTTTTTTTACACTAACGTTTTTTTTAACCACGTTCATCCTAAAATCAGTAATAGACCAGTTCCTATACAATATATAAAGAGTTTAGACTCTTTAATCAGGGCTCGATGTTAACCATCACCTGATCGCCCGGGGCAGGAAGTTTCATTGTCGGGAGAGTATAAATTCACTCAAAATAACGTTAAAATCACCGACATTCGCTGAAAACGACCCACAAGCGTTGTCGGTGCCATCTTTGTTGTTTTGTACACATTCTCGCGTGATTTGAAAAAGCGGCGTGATTTTCCGCTAGATGGCGTGATTCAGCTCTTGGGGAGAGAATTCTGCAGAGCAGCAGCTGGATGATGAATTTAATCTATACTATAATACACGCTAGATTAAAAATGATCAGTCAGGGATTAGGAAAAAAATAATAATTGTATGCGTACAGTGTAAATATTTCTATCATATGGCAGTCTTCTGTACAGTGGTCATACATTAAAAAAATTTTCATTAAATTTTTTTCTCTTAGACATTGGAGTGGTGCATTTAAATATTATAGAGCTAAACATTTTAAATTGGCGAGTAGTAGTAGTGTAAGTTTTTGAGACACAGTTTTAGGTTTGTAAACAAGCTACAATATGGTAAATCGATGGTTTCTCTAGAAGTTGATATCTTTATTTTCACAGTGCAATCAGGAAGGCCAAGACTTAAGGTACTTTCATCAGTCCTGTCCTTGCATACTTTAGATGTTCTCACTCTACTATGACATATATGCAGAATAAACCCTGAGAAACAACTGAAGGATGATAGGAAGGATGTGGCAGCAGGGGCGGAGCTAGAAGGGAGGCCAGGAGGGGCCCTGACCATCACTATGATCACCCAATCTGGTGATTTGTTGTTCCCATTGCAACATAACACCTCTAGAAGTAAAGTTTACCTCTAAAACAGCGCGGCAGCAGAGATACCCTTCGGTGGAAATTTCTCACTGAAGGTGAATTTTAAGCTCGTAGCATATTGACAATAAAATGATGACAGTGATAATTTGAATTTTCAAATGAAAATATAAAAGTTAAAAAGGACATTAAATCCAATTCACCCTCTTTTCAGAAACTAGTTTTTATGTTTTTTGGAGAAGAAGTGAACATTTTGCGTTTCTGCATCAATAAAATAACTGATGAAGAATCACTGCTCAGCAATTAATGTGTTTGTTATGCAGAGCCATAACTAACTTAAAGCTACAGTGTGTAATAATTACAGGGATATACAGTCAGAAATGTAATATA